GGGCATACAGAGGAGAGCGGGGTGAGGGGCAGGAAAATATTATTCCCAGAAGTTTTGTCAGACTCCTTCCCTGTCCCTGTGTCTGCCTTTTCACCTGACCTCTGAGCAACGGGGATTTAACAGATGTGATTGACATGTGGAGCAGCTGTGGGGCTGGAGCAACCTGGGGGCTGTCGGCTGCTGCCCCTTCCCAGAACTAGGAGCCTCTCTCCTCCACTCTTCCTCTGGAGTTGGGAAGGTGGAGTACCAGCATCAGCTTATCTCGGCAGAGTTTCTAATTGGAACTAATGTGGGAGAAACTGTGTCCCAGGGAGGAAGTAGGCAGGTCAGAGAGGGATGATCCTTGACTCTCTTACTGCTGACTTGACATCCCTGTGCAGGCTTTGTTTGTTTAAAGTGAGAAGTCAGGCCTTTTCTTTTGTCAACCTTAGTTTTTCTCATCGGGACCAGACTAGATGGGCACATTTAAACAAAAAGACCCAGTGCACATGCCTGGAAACGATTATTTATTTTGTGGATCTAGGGCGATGCCGCCTCACCAGGGAGAAGACATCTGAGTGGCTGTGCTGGGTCACCTGTGCCGTTTGTCTTCTCCCTGGATGGTGGTAGACGTTGCTCACCAGTGCGATCAGGAACCTGTGTTCTGCCTCAGGAATCCTGGCCCAGGAACTGTCGTTTTCCTGAGCTGCAGCCCTGTACAGGACTGAGAGTCTTGTTTTTCCCCAAAAGAAGAGATGAGTCTGCAGAATTCTAGTTCACAGTTCTAATCTGTAGCCTCTGTGGAAAGGAACCTTGTTTCTAAATGCCTTTTTTAAACACAATTTCCTAAGCTACTGTGTAGGATCTGCTGGGCATTTGGGTGAGAACTGCAGCAAATATGGAAGAGCCTTGTGTTGGTGGAGGAATCATTCCTCCTCATGTGAGGAAAGATACCTTATTCTGCTGAGAGTCATATTGACATACTGATTAAAATCTGAGCCCTTGGGGCGCCTGGGTGGCTCAGTCATTAAGCGTCTGCCTTCAGCTCAGGTCGTGATCCCAGGGTCCTGGGATCGAGCCCAGCGTCGGGCTCCCTGCTCAGCGGGAAGCCTGCTTCTCCCTCTCCCACTCCTCCTGCTTGTGTTGCCTCTCTCTCTGTGTCTCTCTCTGTCAAATAAATAAATAAAATCTTAAAAAAAAAAAAATCTGAGCCCTTAATCTGTGGTCTCCGGATTCCTCCTTTTTATCTACTTGAGGTCTTGGGTATGTTTCAGTGATGAGCTTGTTCCTTGAAAGAGTTAGCCACATTGGTCAGTATCACTACCTTAGAATCAGGCCCTCGACTCGCTGGAATCTGGTGGACTCTATGGGTTCTCTGTGACCTCCAAGTTGCCATAGCAAAACCTGCCTGGGTCTCCCTCTGCTGCCTTTGATGGGATCATTTGCTGGCTTCTCCAGTGGCTGGGGGTGGGGGTTTTAGGTGTTGCCCTCTTCACCCCAAGCACCACCCTTGGTCAGCCATGGAATCTCTGTCACTGACTCTTTTCAATGTCAGATTTGACTTTAATGTCATCTGGATGTTGCACGTGCTCTGCAACACACCCAAAAATGATCTCTTCCCACTTGGCTTCCCGAATCTGTCCCTCCTGCTACACGGCTGACCCTTCTGCCCAGGAGCCCAAGCAAGGGACTAGAGTGCCACCCTCTCTCCTTCCTTTCACTCTTTATGTCTCGCTTTCAGTCCTTGTCTGTTTTCCTGATGACATCTCTCCATTCCACCCTGCTGTCTGGGCCACCACCCTCCTCATTGGCCCTTTAAACCTACTTTGACCTTCCTCCAGTTCTGCCTCACACTTCTTTCTAAGTACAGATTGATTGCCTCTTTGTCAACCCTTTGGTAGCTCCAGTCACCTCCCTGGAAGGTCCTCATTCCTCACCCTAACCTGTTCCTGCTGCTTCCAGAACTTCAACCCACCCTTCCCCTAGTCCTGTCTTCATACCACCAGACTGCCTGTTCCCAGGCCCAGGGTTTCACCATGGACCTCTGAATCTTTGAGTGTGTTTTGCTCTCTGCCTGAAACACCATTCCCACCTTTCCTCACCTGACTCATTCTTACTTTAAATTCAGTGTGGGGGTCACCTCCAGGAAGCTTTCCCTAACCCCTGTGTTATTCTACATGTATCTATTGTTTCTCAAGCCTAACAGCATTCTATATTGAAATGATCTGTTTTTATGGTTTTTTCTTAATTTACACTGTGACTTTGGTGACCGTGTTTTACTTATGTGTCTGTGTGTGTGTGTTAAAGTATAATTTACATTGGACCATGTCTTATTCATTCCCCTATCCCTAGCACCTAGTAGATATTTTGTGAGATAAACTAAAATATTTATGGAACTCTGCCCCCAGTTCCTGGCACAGGGTTCCTGAAACCCTTGTAATGTCCTAAGTGCTAAGAACACCAGGAGCATCTCTTGTTCTGATATTTGGCCTTTGACCCCAGTTCCTGATACAGGCTCCTGAAACCCTTGCAATTTCTTGGGTGATAGGAGTGTCTTTTGTTCTAATAAGGTGAATCTGAGTGGGCTCCCAGGTGACTCCTAGATGGGAACTGGTCACCAGACTCAAGCTGTGATTAGAAGCTTGGAATTTTCAGCCCTGCCTCCCATTCTATTGAGAAGGGATTAGGGTCGAAAATGGAGTTAATGATGGATCATGCCTGTGTGATGAAGTCTCCATAAAATCCCAATAGTAGGGTGTTCGGGGAGCATCTGGGTTGGTGAACACATGGAAGTGCTGGGAGAGTGGGGCACCCAGAGAGGGCATGGGAGCTCCGCACCCCTTCCCACATGCCTGGCCCACCCTGTGCGTCTCTTCCATCTGGATGTTCACCTATATCTTTTAATAAACTGGTAAATGTAAGTAAGTGTTTCCCTGAGTTCTGGGAGTCTCTCTAGCAAATTAATTGAGCTCAAGGAGGGGGCTTTTGGGACGCTGATCTGTGGCCAGTTGGTCAGAAGCACAGGTGATAACCCAGGCTTGTGACCTGTGCTGAAGTGTGTGTGAGGGAGGGAGCAGTCTTAGGGGACTGAGCCCTTAACCTGTGGTATCTGACGAGATCTTTGGGTAGACAGTGTCAGAACTGAGTTAAATTGTAGGACATCGGCTGGCGTTACAGAATTGCTTGATGTGGGGACTCACCACACATGTGACCAGAGGTGTCAGAAGTGAAGTGTTCTAGAGGCGCCTGGCTGGCTTCAGTCAGTGGAGCGTGTGACTCTTGATCTTGGGGTTGTGAGTTTGAGCCCTGTGCTGGGTATAGAGATTACTTTAAAAAAATAAAATCTTTTTTTTTTTTTGAAAGATTTTATTTATTTATTTATTTGAGAGAATGAGAGAGAGCACATGAGAGGGCGGAGGGTCAGAGGGAGAAGCAGATTCCCTGCCGAGCAGGAAGCCCGATGCGGGACTCGATCCAGGGACTCCAGGATCATGACCTGAGCCGAAGGCAGTTGCTTAACCAACTGAGCCACCCAGATGCCCCCAAAAATAAAATCTTAAAAAAAAAAAAAAGTGAAGTGCTCTCTGTGAAGGTAAAGGAGAGACATAGAGTGAAGAAATACACAGTATGGAAGAACTTTATCTCCTTACACAGGAAGGAAAAAAGCTGTTTTTTTCCCTTTACAATGTTTAATAAATGTTTGATCTGAATTGATAATTTTACCCTTAATTCTGTGTGTCATAATCAATAGAAAATTCTCAGCTCTCTCCTTTCACCAATGGGCCTCTCAGAAAGACTTAGAGAAGGACAGCCAGGGTAGAAGTGACTTCTGGAAAGCAGTACTTCGGCACTTCACCTTATGGAGGCCGCGGCAGCTATAGGGTTTTAATGGTTGGAACATCTCTGGGAAGCAAATGGAAAAGTTCTTGGATCCTTATTCCAAGGAAGCAGAGTACCCTGATCCACAGGCTGAGTCACATCAAGATGAAACTGTTAGTGTCCTTTCAGAGCTCAAGGTCCCCTTTGTCTCTTGAATGCCCAGGCTAGTTTGGTAGCTGCCTGTTAGCAGTGTACTAAGGTTTGTGGTCCTAAGTTTACTGGAGTTGATTTAGCCTGACCTGGGATTGTGTGGCATTTAGGCCATCTGTGTGGTGAACTGGGAAGCAGAAGGCCCTGGAACAGTGTGTTGAACTGCCAGATGAAGATGGTGCATGAGCAAAGTAACGGGAACCGTCTAGGAAAGAGTAAGGTTAGGGCAGAGAACAGGGCAGGGATGGTAGTGTTGGCAGCAGGAGGCCTAGAGGGCCAGGAAAGATATCCATGAGGGGCACCTTGGAGAAGCGGCTTTCTGGTGGGTGATAGTGTTGGTGAGCAGGCCTCTAACATTCTACACCGCCGTGTCAGAAAAGATGAGTCAGAGTAATAAGAGGAATGATTTTAACATTTAAAAAAACATTGAACTTCAGCTAGGATAAGGGACCCAGGCAGGGTAGGGAGGAAGGTGGGGGCAGTGACAGCTGAGCCTGGTGCATGTTCCTGCTCCTCGCTTGGGGTTGGAGAGCAGCATGATAATCAGATCCAGGGAGATGTAAGTCAAGACCGTGGAGCTCAAGGATGCCTGGGTGGCTCAGTCGGTTAAGCATCTGCCTTGGGCTCAGGTCATGATCCCGGGGTCCTGGGGTTGAACCCCCGCATCGCATCGCATCAAGGAGCCTGCTTGTCCCTCTGCCTGCAGCTCCCCTTGCTTGTGTACTTGCTCTCTCTCTCTCTCTAACAAATAAATGAATAAAGTCTTAAAAAAAACAAAAAAAGACCAGGGAGCTCAGACCCAGCCTTTCATCTGGACCCTTCATCGAGCACTCAGGGGGCAGCGCCATCCTCCCTTCCAGGGAACCATCTTAGAGTCAGGTCCTCAGGCTACGTTTATTGCGGGGCAAGGGGGAGGGGATGAGGAGAATGGCTGGTATCCTTTCAGAGGTATCCCTGGCCGTGCTGACTTGCCCTTTCTTCTGTGTGCGTAGGTGTAGACGGGGCACTGCCTGCAGAGCAGGTCCTGCCAACCTCGCTAGAGAGGATGCCCCCGTGTCCGTGATGGGCTGTGGGACAAGCAAGGTCCTTCCGGAGCCGCCAAAGGACGTCCAGCTGGATCTCGTCAAGAAGGTGGAGCCCTTCAGTGGCACTAAGAAGGATGTGTACAAGCACTTCATCACAGAGGTGGACAGTGTTGGTGCTCTCAAAGCCGGGCTCCCAGCAGCCAGTCAGGGTGCAAACCCCTGCCCTGGTGCCCCCGTTAGCAGCCACACAGAGCCTCCCTCAGAACCACCACGCAGGGCCAGGGTGGCTAAGTACAGGGCTAAGTTTGACCCACGTGTGACGGCCAAGTACGACATCAAAGCCCTCATTGGCCGAGGCAGCTTCAGCCGAGTGGTCCGTGTGGAGCACCGGGCAACCCGACAGCCCTATGCCATCAAGATGATTGAGACCAAGTACCGGGAAGGGCGGGAGGTATGTGAGTCAGAGCTGCGTGTGCTGCGCCGGGTGCGTCACGCCAACATCATCCAGCTGGTGGAGGTGTTTGAGACGCAGGAGCGCGTGTACATGGTGATGGAGCTGGCCACCGGTGGAGAGCTCTTTGACCGCATCATCGCCAAGGGTTCGTTCACTGAACGTGATGCCACGCGGGTGCTGCAGATGGTGCTGGATGGTGTCCGATACCTGCACGCACTGGGCATCACACATCGAGACCTCAAGCCTGAGAATCTGCTCTACTACCACCCCGGCACTGACTCCAAGATCATCATCACCGACTTCGGCCTGGCCAGTGCCCGCAAGAAGGGCGACGACTGCCTGATGAAGACCACCTGTGGCACACCCGAGTACATTGCGCCTGAGGTCCTGGTCCGCAAGCCCTACACCAATTCCGTTGACATGTGGGCACTGGGTGTCATTGCCTACATCCTGCTCAGTGGCACCATGCCCTTTGAGGACGACAACCGCACCAGGCTGTACCGGCAAATCCTCAGGGGCAAGTACAGTTACTCGGGGGAGGTGAGTCTGCCCCGCCCCAGGGATGGTGGGAGGCCCCCGGCAGCGCTTGAGCAGGGGGACGTGCTCGGAGGGCCATGTTCATGGGGTCAGGCAGGTAATGTAAAAAATGATGAAGTGAGACTAATAGGGTCTCTTAGTTTGGGTTTCCCCAAAAATGTGCCCTGAGACTTGGGAGCAGATGTAATTGGGATAGGAGTCCAGTAAGCACAGGCGAAGGGTAGGAAAGTGAGGCAGAAAGGAGGAAGCCAATAAAGGCCTGTGAAGGAGTGGACTGCCGCTGTGGGCCGCTGGATCTCCCACTGGGGACCCTGTGAATAATCACGTGGAACATGCCTCAGAACTATACCACTGAGGGACAAGAAGGTGAGTGGGTTTTAATCCACTGACTCCTGTAAGAGTTGAGAATTTCTTTGGGGGGACGGGCATTAAATCCCTGGCACTTCCGGGCTGTCCTGATGTCAGCCGGTGCTGGAGAAAGTCTTCAGGCAAAGAAGCAGGGAGATGCGGGCACTGGCACCCGGGGAGCTGTCCGCATGCATGGGGCCCCCACAGCTGCAGGTGAGCTCAGAGGTGGGCTGGAGCACATGGGCCAGGGTGGCCGCAGTAGCTGCTCCACGGGGACTGGGACAAGCTAGAGTGACCATGTCCCGTTGAAAGGGTCTGCTGCTGGTCCTCTGCCCAGTTTTGCCACACAGCCCAGAGGATTCTCTGTACCCACACATTCCAGTTCTTTTAAGAGAAGCCAGAAAATTTTATCTTAAGATGTTGGAATTCCATTTGTGCCAACAAATACTTACCTGCAGGCCAGATCCAACCAGCAGGCCATCAGTTTGTGTCTTTGGATCCACTGATTGTCCTGATACCTGAAAAAATCTGTTAGGTTTCAGCACTGCTGGGAGCTGAAGGAAGATGCACAAAAAGAAAGACCTGGTTGGTCCTCAGGCAGGATGCTGAATGGGCGGGGAGATGAGGCTGACCCTAGGCAACAGCAGGTGCTGTAAGCATAATGGTGGACTTGGGAGGCTGGTGAATAACAGAATGTGTGATGGCTTAACTGGGAGGTAAAGTAAGCTTTGCAGGACAGCAGGATTCTGGTGGGGCAGCGAGGGCCTCTCCCCAAGTGCCCCCTGCAGAATGTGCCCCACAGTGTTCCCCTCAGGCTTGGGCCTGCCTGAACAACCTGCATGGTGGGGAGGAACCAGCCCCCTTCTGAAACCCAGCCTTCCTTCCAGGGATTTTGGACTGGGCCTTCTCTGGCTCCAGCCACCTGGCCCAGAGCAGCATTTCCTGCAGGAGTTACCCCCCAAAGCCTCTTGCCACTTTGTCTTCAGTGCTCAGTGCTTGGGGTCCTGTGCTCCGTCAAACTCCTTATTAGCTTCCAGACGTGGTCGTGAGGTCAGTCAAGGACTTCCTGTGAGGCGGGGGCTGGCATTCCTTAGGGGGATCTCCAGGTCACGCGTTAGAGTGGTATGAGGAAGGGAGGGAAGCCTTCTTCGTTAGGCCAGCTCTGTGCTGGCCAGAGGCCAAGGAGAAACTGGGACTTTGTCTAGCTCTCCCCTACGGTTTCTCTTGTCTTCTGTGTTCCAAATGGATTCAACAAAACAAATGCTACCGGCTGGGAAGCCCAGGCTACGACGGCGTAGTCACAGAGGGCACCCCCCTCACGCTCTGGACGGGCTTCCGTCAAGGTCAGAAGACCCAGCCTCCACCTCCCAGAGGTAGTGTTGTGCCAAGGCTCCGCCTGGCCTGCTGTGTGCTGGGAGCTCTGTGTGGTGCCAGGCTGTTGGGGCCCGGCTGGCAGAGGGAGTAGCGAGCTCAGCTACAGGAGAGAGGGAGGTTTCCCAAGAGATGCTACCAGAGCGAAGGCTCTTTCTGAAAGTCGGTGGGTTTGCCCAAGAGTTCCTGATTCTGGCAATTGTGGATCAGGCAGTTTATCTAATTGGAGCTTGCAGTCTTGCTAACTGGCTATTGATTATCTGTGGCTTGGAGAATGACAAACGAATAGGGTGAGGAATGGACTCGGGCTTCCTGCTCCTCCCGTAGCCACTAGACTGGATCCTGAGACTCTGTTTCCTGCTCTGCTGGAAACACAGTCTGAGGCTCCCAGTGTTATGGGGGGCACTGCCCAGCCTCACCCCCCGCCCCATTTATCTGAAGCTGAAAGCATGAGTTCCCAGTTCCAGAGTCAAATTCCTGGCCAGCCCTGTTGGCATCTGTCCCTTACCAAGAGCGTGGCTGACTCCAACAACAGGTTCTACCACCATCTGCAGAGAGCTATGGTTTGGGGGGGATTTGTCTGGGGTATTTCTTGGGTGAGGAGGCCTCATCATTAGATCATGCTCTCTGAGGTGGTGACCGAGCATCTGTCTTTCTGTTCTACTGACTGCTTACTCTACTGCTTACTCATAAATGCACCTGGGGAAGATGCAGAGACATGAAGGCTTGTTCTCCATCCCCCGTGAAGCTTGAGATAGCCTGGGGAGAAAGGACTAGGAGTAGGAAATGGCCACAGAACAAACCCTTGTTGGCAGCACCTGCCAGGGCAGGCCTCACCTCCAGCCACTGGGTCTGGGCAGTCTGCGACATGAGCTGTGGGGCTCAGGTCAGGTGGCGGGGCTGGTCTCCCTTCTTAGGGCTGGGCCCTGCCCCCACCCTCAGTCCAGCCATCTGTCCCATCTGTCTTCTACTGGGTGATGGTCATTTGCCCTTCTGAAGGCCATCCAAGTGAGAAGGCCCTGCCAGAAAACCTGTCTGAGAGCATGTCATGTTAAAGGGGGATGCTTTGATCTGACTTCTGCAAATGAAGGACCACCCACTTAGAGCTCAGGAAGGTTTGGAGGTGTGCATTGCTCACCTGACAGTAAGTCTCATGGCAGTTAGTGCCTTTCTAGGGGCACTTTTCCTGCCCCCCTGACATGCTCATAGTGGTACCTTATGTATACCAGGCCCCATCCAATGGGCTTGTTTCCCGAGGCCTATGTCTGTGTAGTTCCCTGTCAGGCTCAGTGGTTTCTGTGGACTTGAATAAAGGGCTTTCTACAGGAGGTGGGCCTTGAGAAGGAGGAAGCTCAGAGAAAGGGACATTGCTGACTGTCCTCAGAAGAGGGGCAGTAATGGAGCCCAGGCTGATGAGGCTGGGGCAGGCCTGGCGTTTGCTGTTGGTGTTTGTTGTTCGCTCTGTAGTGCCAGAGGCTCTTTGGAAACAGTACGGTGGGAGCGAGCCCTCTGGGGTCTTGATAGTGATGGGGGAATGCAGCAGAACGTGTTGTGGGAGACTCACAGGATGAAGACCGACGGGGGAGGGGGCCGCTGTTGGGGCCGCTGTTGTAGTAATCCGAGTCGGGGGTGGAGGAACCTGGCATCCTGGGGCTGTTTGAGGCAGAGCAGAGATTCCTGAGAGTGGGCTGCCCATGTTGTTTAGGGAGAGGTATGGGGACAGAGTCGTGCTGCAGCTCTGCAGAAGCGTCAGCTTCCAAGGGCAGAGTGAGAGAGGACTCACGGGAGAGACTGCCCTCTGGTCCAGAGGGTGTGTAGGCTCCTGCCTTGACATCCCTAGGTGGGGCCCAGTGGTGGAGGGAAGTACTCCAAGTACTCCAGCCCCACAATCCTGACTCTAGATGCTCCAGCCCATAGCCCGGCCCCGCTCTCTGCCCCATTTCCTACACACCACAGGCCTGAGATGTTTGCTCCGTTCACTCCCCATACTAAGCTATTGCTCAGGGTTTTCACTCTGCTCCCAGTGTCGGCCTCAGAAATATGGCCAGCTCCGAAAGGTTCAATTCAAAGATGGCTTCCATTAGGAATAGTGGTGATGCGTAGTACCGGACAGAGGGCTAAGGGTTCTATATCCAACATGTTTAATCTCCACAACAGTGCCGCCGGGTGGGTGTAACGCCCCCATTTTACAGATGAGGAAACTGAGGGGGTATAGCTCAGGGGTAGAGCATTTGACTGCAGATGAGGAAACTGAGGCTCGTGAGGTTAAGTAACCTGTCCATGGTTTCACAGCTAGAGTGTGACAGGCCTTGGGATTTGAATCTAGGCCATCTTGGTGTCAGAATTTTTGCCTCTCCATCCCCACAGTCTGTGTTCCCTGACATACATGCCTTAGCATGTTGCTGGAGTCTTTGCTTCAGCACTTTCTTGGGCTGCTGTCTGTGGACATCTCTCCTCTCAGGCCTGTTAGGTCCTTGAGGACAGCTTGTGTATCAATGCATATGTTCCCAGTACTTTCTCCTGGCTTCTCCTGAGGGAAGCACCCGTGGTTGTTGGTGCTGCCCTGGGAAAGGATGCGGAAGGGGCTGGCTGGCAGGGAGACGGGTGTGGCCCTGCTGGCTGGGAGTGTTCTCTTCTGGGGGCTGGGCTCCAGGAAGAAGTGGAGAGCCTGCTGGAGAGGTGGTTAGTGGTCTGCTGGCCAGACCTGCTTAGGAGCAGCTTTGGAATCTTGGAAGAGGAGGGAGTGCTGGGAAGGAAAAGGCTGTGACAGATGATTTTGAGAAGAGAAATCTTCATTTTCCCTGGTGACCAGAGGTGCCGGAGCGGAGAGGGCCAAGCCAGAGTCGTGTTGGACGTGATGGGGAGACGCTTGTTGGTCAGATGTGAGGAAGGCCTGTGTGAGTGGGAGAGCAGTCAGAAGACACAAGGAGCCACCTTGAGTGAGGGAGCTTCTTGTCATGAGAGATTCTAGGAGGGCTGGAGCAGCTTTTTCTGAAGGAGTGACACCAAAGGTGAGTCATCATCCGTAAGACCTGTACTACAGGCCTGTCATAGTCCCACTGGCTGGGAGATTCTGTGATTAACTGCCCATGAAATGTGACGTTGTCGGCCTGATGTCATTGCTTTTGTCAAGAGTTCTATTCCCAGAGGCAGGACGGATGAGGAGGCTCTTGTGGGATTGGTGGCAGAGTGGTGCCATCAGCAGCTTTGCTGCCTGTCGCGTTGAACAGCCTTTAATTGTGGCTCTCTGCTGGGGCAGTCTCCGAGCTGTGGGCAGGCGCGGG